CCCAATCCCCATATTCCCAAATCCCCATATTCCCAAATCCCCATATTCCCAAATCCCCATATTCCCAAATCCCCATATTCCCAAATCCCCATATTCCCAAATCCCCATATTCCCAAATCCCCATATTCCCAAATCCCCATATTCCCAAATCCCCATATTCCCAAATCCCCATATTCCCAAATCCCCATATTCCCAAATCCCCATATTCCCAAATCCCCATATTCCCAAATCCCCATATTCCCAAATCCCCATATTCCCAAATTTCCATATTCCCAAATCCCCACATTTCTAAATCCCCATATTCCCAAATCCCCACATTCCCAAATTTCCATATTCCCAAATCCCCACATTTCTAAATCCCCATATTCCCAAATCCCCACATTTCTAACTTCCCATATACTTAAATCCCCATCTTCTCAAATCCCCAAATTCCCAAATCCCCAAATTCCCAAATCCCCATATTTCCAGATCCCCAGATTCCCAAATTCCCATATTCCCAAATCCCCGTATTCCTAAATTCCCATATTCCCAAATCCCCATATTCCTAAATCTCCAAATTGCCGAATCCGCATCGTCCCAAATCCCCATATTCTCAAATCCCCACATTTCCAAATCCCCATATTCCCAAATTCCAATTTTCCCAAATCCTCATATTCCCAAATCTCCACATACCCAAGTCCTCAGTAATACAATACGTGGTCAATGAAGATCCAGAAATACAACATATGATCATTTAACACGCAACGATGTATTCAACGCAAAGCGATACTAACGCACGACAATATAACAGGTGGTTATGCAACGTGCAGTAATATAGCAAATGGTGATTTAAGACCGACCTGCAATGACAAATCTACATAACTACGCCAATGAACTTGTCACTAAAGTTCTATGTCTCATTCAGAAACCAGGTATTTCATATGCACCAAACTAATCCGTTACGTAAGCGTCGAAGACAGATAAATTAAAATTACTATCTCCTTTAATAAGCATAATACACGATACTGTTTTCAGTACGATGCGATATAAACTTCTTATTAATACTTTTTTTAATTTTAGTTATGGATTCAGATATGTAAATTTGAGCGTCTAATTGACTTCATTTATGCAACCAGTTAATAGATCAAAGATGAGGAAGTATTTGCATTTGCGTAAATAACGTTAAAGCTTATCTGTGATACGTGATATTATGTTAATGTCAATAGTATGCCATGAAGTTGATTGGAACTGGAGGAGAGTTAATAGAATGTAAGTTATAAACACGGAAGTTGGAAAGATTTAGGATAATATACAGTTTGTGGAGAAGAGTGATATTATTTGGGAATTTTTGGATCTGGATGTGTTTAGGTTAGACTTTGAGGTTATTTGAGGTCAGACAAATTGTATTAGGTTATTTGTTTTATATTTCCAAAATACCTAAACCTCAGAACCCCGCTGTTGGCATATACCTGTATTCTCAAATCCTCATATTTGCAAATTCCTATATTTCCACGTCCCCACGTACTGAAATTTCCAAATTCGCAAATCTCTACATTCTCAAATCTCCGTATTCTTAAACCCCATATTCTCAAATCTTCACATTCTCAAATCTCCACATTTCCAAATCCCTACATTCTCAAATCTCCACATTCTCAAATCTCCACATTCTCAAATCCCCACATTCTCAAATCCACACATTCTCAAATCCCCACATTCTCAAATCCCCACGTTTCCAAATCCCTATATTCCCAAATCTCCACATTCTCAAATCTCCACATTACCAAATTCCCAAATTTCCAAATCCCTACATTCCCAAATCTCCACATTCTCAAATCCCCACATTCTCAAATCCCCACGTTTCCAAATCCCTATAGTCCCAAATCTCCACATTCCCAAATCTCCATATTTTCAAATCTCCAAATTTCCAAATCCTCATCTTCCCAAATCCCCGTCTTCCCTAATCCCCATCTTCTAAAATCCCCAAATTTCCAAGTCTCCATGTTGCTAAATCCCCATATTGCCAAATCCCCATATTCCCAAATCCCCATCTTTCAAAATCCCCAAATTTCCAAATCGCCAACTTCTCAAATCCCTAAATTTCCAAGTCTCCATGTTGCCAAATCTCCACATTTCTGAATTCCCTTTTTCCCAAATCCCCATATCCCCATATCCTCAAATCCCTAAATCCCCATATCCCCATATCCCCATATCCCCATATCCCCATATCCCCATATCCCCATATCCCCATATCCCCATATCCCCATATCCCCATATCCCCAAATTCCCATATTCCCATATCCTCATATTCCCAAATCTCCACATTACTGTATCCCCATATTCCCAATACAAATATAATCATCTTCAAACACACAAATCCCTATTATCTCTCACTAATAATACTATAACAACGATAAGCCCATTAAATCCATATTACCAACAAAAATAAGAAACAGTAAATCCACTCCGCTATAAAGCCACGCTTCCATAACGAACCTTCAATATTCCCCGGACGTGCTCTGTAAAGAAGAACCAAGAAAAAGACAAATTTAAAGAAGTTAATTTTTCAAAGCCGTTGACGTTTAGTACACAGGCATCATTTTAATACATATTTTATGTCTCGCAGTACGCCATAATCTACTGTACCCATAAACATCATAATTTAGAGTACATCCGCCTGCTTTCCACCCCTAATTATAATTTACAAACAAACATGCGTAAAACTATCCCCAGTATTTTAGAGGATCGTTGCTCGTTAATATCGTTATCTCAGAAATGAAACTATTATAATTAACTCGAGAACAACTTCGAAATCATCTCGATAAAATCTTTTCACGTTAACGAAAGGACGTTAAGTACGTTTTAACAGCGGCACGGGGTTGTTTGACATCGTTCGGTTTCCGGTGGTGAGATGCAGCAATCAGGTAGCCAGTATACAGGACATCCAGTGTTAACTGTGTCTTTAATAACACACACAACGTTCGTGCATTGAGAGTCAACCCTGCTCTTCCTCTGACGAAGCTTTAATGACTCAACCGAACGATTGTTAGAGCGTTGATGCGGACGTTGATTATAATTTATGGTTCCTCTGCTTCTATAAAACACTGTCTCGGCTTTTCTTTGCTCGACGAGAATTGCACGATGACTTGTGTACTTGCACAGTTTGTCATAACATGTTCAATACTGTGGACTGTAATTTTGAACAAAAATAAAATGGTTGATCAAGGTTTGTTAGTTATTTGCAAAATAGGGTGGGTGGTTTGGACTGGTTTAAGGATTTTGTCAATTTTATTATTTTCATATGTAAGACACTGTGGACTGCAATTTTGAACAAAAATATAATGGTTGATCAAGGTTTGTTAGTGATTTGCAAAATAAGGTGGCTGGTTTAGGCTGGTTCAAGGATTTTGACAATTTTATTATTTTCGTATGTAAGACGCTGTGGACTACAATTTTGAACAAAAATAAAATGGTTGATCAAAGTTTCTGGATGACTTGAAGAATCTTAATTAGGCTGGTGCAAGAGTTTTCACAATTTTAGTCTTTTAATGTGTATGATACTGTGGACAGCTATTTTGAACAAAAATAAAATGGTTGATCAAAGTTTGTAGTCGATTTGAAGAATCTTTAGTTAGATTTGTCCAAGAATTTTCACAATTTTATTCTCTTTATATGTATGATACTGTGGTCAGCCATTTTGTGCAAAAATAAAATGGTTGATCAAAGTTTGTAGTCGATTTGAAGAATCTTTAGTTAGATTTGTCCAAGAATTTTCACAATTTTAATCTCTTAACATGTATGACACTATGGACAGCAATTTTGTACAAAAATAAAATGAACATCTGATCAAAATTTATTAGAAATTTGATGAAAAATTTCCAATTGTTAGATTGGTCCAAAAATAATCACGAATTTAACCTCTTTCGGTGCACATATGTGAACGTCTGGTTTGTTTTGAAATTCATCAGTTACATGTTATTTTAGGATTTATATAATTGTTACGGATTTAATATCAGCAAAATATAATTAAATTAGAAAATTATTTACTTTTCTAATCTTAAAAGGATCCTTGAA